AGCTCACCAGTTGTTCCACCTCCTCTCTGTATGGTGTTTCGTTATCGTTGCTGATGTGTCCATTGGAGTGTTTTTTTTTTTTCCCCTGTAGACATGGGGTAGGAAGGCAGTTTATGATGGGAGTAGGATGCTGGGTGGTATCAGCTTATTCAGGATTCTGACAGCCTGGGGGGAAAAGCTGTTGCAGAAACTTGCCGTGCGGGTCCTGATGCTGCGTATTCTTCTGCCTGATGGCAGAGGGTCAAACAGATGGTTGGAGGGGTGAGATGAATCTTTCACAATGGCGAAGGCTCTGCATACACAGCGTGCCTGATAGATGTCTTGGATCGAGGTGAGGGAGACCCCTATGATCCTCTCAGCTGTCCTCACTATGCGCTGGAGGGTCTTGCGTTCTGCTGTTTTGCAGTTTACGAACCACACAGTGATGCAGCTGGCCAGGACGCTCTCCACAGTTCCTCTGTAGAAGGTGGTGAGAATGGGTGGTGGGAGGCAGAGCCACTGATGAGCAGGGGAAGATGATCAGTTGAACTTCTCTGGAAATCCACAACGATCTCTTTCGTCTTGTCCACATTGAGAGACAGATTGTTGCTGTAGCACCAGCTCACCAGTTGTTCCACCTCCTCTCTGTATGGTGTTTCGTTATCGTTGCTGATGAGGCCCACTACTGTCATGTCATCAGCAAACTTGACAACGAGGTTGGATTCTGACTTGACTGTGCAGTCGTGGGTGAGCAGCGAGAACAGCAGTGGACTGAGAACACAGATTTGAGGGGCACCTGTGCTTAATGTGATGGTGCCTGATGTTCTGCCACAAATGCGCACTGACTGTGGTCTCTCTGTCAGGAAGTGTTGAGACCCAGTAGAGAGAGATTACTCACTAGTTACTGTGGAATGATTGTATTGCATGCTGAGCTAAAGTCAATGAACAGAATTCTGACATATGAGTCTTTTGTGTCCAGATGTGATAAGACGGAGTGCAGTGTGTAGGAGATAGCATCATCTGTAGAGCGGTTGGGGTGGTATGCAAATTGTAGAGGGTCTAGTGAAGAGGGCAAAGTGGAGTGGATATGTTTTTTGACCAGTCGTCAAACCAGACTGTGACTGACCAGACTGTGGTCAGCACAGTCCCTGAGCACTCTTCCTGGAATGTTGTCTGGGCCTGCAGCTTTCCGTGGATTGACTCTGGATAACATCCTCCTTACGTCAGCTGAAGCCAGACAGAGCACCTGCTCCTCAGGAGTGGGCATGGATTTAAGTGCCTGTGTGTCATTCAGAGCTTCAAACCATGCATAGAAATCATTCAACAAGTCAGGGAGGTGGGTGTCACTGTTGTTGGCATGTGGTGTGATTTTGTAATCTGTTAGGGCCTGGATGCCCTGCCACATGCGTCTGGCGTCCTTAGTATCACAGAAATGGTTGTTAATTTTCTGTGCATACTGGCATTTTGCTTTCCTGATGCAGGGCATGGACCTCAGCTGTTAGCCACGGCTTCTGGTTGGCACGCATAATTATGGATTTTTCAACAGTGACATCCTCAATGCACTTCTCTATGTATCCAGTCACAGAGTTTGTATATTCTTCCAAACAGACATGCTGGTCATAGGTGGCAGCTTCCCTGAACATGTTCCAGTCCTTGCTCTCAAAGCAGTCTTGTAAGGCTGAAGTGGCTCCTTCTATCCAGACTTTGATGGTCCTGCTTACTGGCCTGGTGCGTTTCAGCAGTGGCCTGTATGCTGGGAAGAGCAGCACGCAGAGGTGGTCTGATAGTCCCAGGTGGGGGCGGGGGATGGCTTTGTGTGAGTCACGGACATTTGTGTAAAATAAATCCAGCATATTGTCTCCTCTTGTGGCAAAGTTGACATGCTGGTGAAACTTTGGTGCAACAGTTTTCAAGTTTGCATGGTTGAAATCCCAGGCAATAATGAAAAAGCCGTCTGGGTGGGCCGTTTGTTGCTCACTGATGGCGTCGTGAAGCTCGTGCATCGCCTCGTTAGTACTGGGAGAGATGTACACTGCTATTATGATAATAGCTGTAAATTCCTGCGGTAGATAAAACGGCTGGCATTTCAACACCAAAAACTCTATCTGTGGCGAGCAGTGGGTAGCGATTGCCGAGGTATTAACACACCAGTCATTGTTTATATAAACACAGAGTCCGCCACCTCTGCTCTTACCGGAGGTCTCAGTGATCCTATCCGCACGGAACGATGTTAGCCCCTGTAGCTGGATGGCTGTGTCGGGGATGTTGCTCTGCAGCCATGTTTCCGTAAAGATAAACACACAGCAGTTCTTTGTTTCAGACTGGGTGGTCATTCGGAGTCTGAGGTGATCCATTTTATTATCCAGAGAGCATACATTGGCCAGTAGAACTGATGGGAGAGCTGGTCGGCTATGATTAGCTTTTAGCCTCCAGCGGACACCGGCTCGTTTGCCTCGCTTATGGTTTCTCTCGCACCACTTGCGGTGCCTCCGTCCCCGGATAGCTGGATCGCGCGACACCGTGGTGAGCTTTTGTCCGCTTAGTAATCCTAGGCCACGTAGTAATTCTCTTATTGATTCCGGTATATTTTTTAACTAAATCTGGAAAATACTTGGGAGTTACTTGAAACTTTATAGTACATTCATTGGCCAAGAAACAGTATGTTTCTTTGTTTAACCCATATAATGTGTTTGTGCTCCACACTGAAACTGTTTACTCAAGTGGCTGCACAGCTTAACTTTGATAAATATCTCTGTCATGTTTTCCCCAATGCTCCTGGTGATGTTTTTACCTTTTATGATAGTGAGGTAATTCCTGTTTAGTTTACAAAGTATGGATTAGCAGTTTATGAAGTTTATGATTACAGTATGAAGCCGGTTTCAGTAATTTACGTAACATGGCTACCCTGCTCCGGAGCAGGTTTTATTCTGGGTTAGAGATCACAAACCCAAACTGGACCAATCAGCTGTGAGCAAAGTGACACATATCTGATGCATTGAAGCCACTCCCCCGTATCTCTTGCTCCAAATTAAAGCAGTTTACAGTCAAATAATTTTAGAGACAAAATTGCCCGACTTTTGCAGCTACTTATTTATTATATTTATATTATATTAATTGTAATTGTTTATAATTCATATAATATATTCATATAATTATTATATGAAGTAGCAATTAATTTTAAGCTTCATATTTAAATTATATATATATATACAATATATATATATACACACACACACACACAAACACACACACACACACATACATATAGATAAGCTTTAATATATCCAACTTTTAAAATGCATAGACATATATTTTCTTTTTGCTGCCAAACTTTTGTTTATTCCTGCCTTGTAAATGCATTTAAATTTATAAAATTTTTAATAATGAAATCTCTTAATCTTCAGCAGAAAAGTGAATTGCGCTGACTCTCGCGAGAATTGAATCTAAATGACGCCTTGCTGATGCTCTCCACAGGTTCCCTGTGATTGGATGTTTGCTGCACGTCTCACACGTTCAGGTGCATGCGCTCCAGAGTTAATCACAAACTCTGGTTGAAACTCTGAGTTGGGAGAGAAGGTTTATATCGAGCTTTGTAAGCCCAGTGAACCTGATCTTAACCAGGTTGGCTTTATCGGGTTTTGTCAACTCAAAACTGACTCTGCAACTCTGAGTTTGTTCATCTCACTTCGTGCTACAGGCCACTGGTAATTTGTGTTGGAGCTCGAGTCAGACCCACACAGCTTTCGAGACCTTTCTCTTGACAATAAATGCTCATACTCAGTAAAAATCTGCATTTGTGCATTTGGGGTTTGGTTTAGAGGCAGCATTCTAAGGCAGGAACCCAGCCAACATTTGTGTGTGGGGCCCATGTGGGTTTGACATGGGCTGAAAAAGTGGGCCCAAAATGGGATTGTCCGCGGGTTCCATAATGGCCCAATGTCAATTGCCCACATGGATTTCATGTGGGATTGTACTTGCCAACAGGTGGGCCCCAACTGGGCAACATG